CTTCCATAACGCGATTATGACGTTTCAGTTCTTCCAGTTGATGCTGCATGGCTTTATTATCCTTCACCGCCTTAGCGACTCCCGCAGCTCCGTCAATCACCGAACCGAGAACTCCCAACAATGGCAGAATTGGTAGCATACTACCGCGTTTCGCCACCGGTAGTATTCGCTTGCTCAATGCATTCTTCTTCTTCTTTTTCTTGTTCATCAAACCCATGCCGAGTTTTGTTTTAGCCTTTATAGCGGTCCAAATGGCAGCAGCAGCAACTCTTTCTTATAAAACCGAATCTTTCGCGATAACGCGTTTCCGCGCTTTTATGGCGAGTATCTCGTCAGCCTCGTGTCGTTTAGCGAGATCGTTGCTATGCGAATAAGCTATATCGTGCTCGCGACACGCCGCGTTCAGCGGATTAATACTTCGATTATCTCTAGTCAATCGCTCTTCTAAATGCGTTCCTGGACCGCAAAACGGATATCCAGGGATATACAGTTCGAAAGGAAGTGCGTTTATCGCGCGGTTTAACAAGCCGCAACCTTTCGCTGACATTCGATGCAATTCCTTATCAGTAATACTGGACCATCGTTTGATGACACGGTAAATTATAGTGTTTTAAGCATCGATATTACTGAACCTCTAAATCACCTTTTATATGCTTGGGCAATCTGTCCCACAATTGATCAATACAATTGTAAAACTCACGCAACAGAACAACTTTTGGTATACACTCTAACTGTTTGGTAGTTAAACTGTGTATGTTGCAGTTATCCGATACGATGAGAAACATTTTGGCTACTGATCTGTTTCGATCTACGCGCCTCTATAAATAGTCCAGCTCTCGATACCATTTTTCAGTTTGTGTAGGGGAGTAAATATGCGATTCGTGCAGTCGCAGATGATTAAAGTAATGAATTTTGATGATAAGATACAACTATTGCCCGAGAAGATACGCAAGTATGGAAACATTACCAGCTTCTATACGCGGTATTATCCCTGATAAAAAAATATGATAGAAAACGATTAAGATTGATAGGATTTCTATGTGAATGTATCGTTCTCTAACAGGTCTATCGGTCATCGCGAAAGTGTAATAATACAAATCGTACCGTATTTAATCGGTTTTAATTGAATCTGTTTTCTGTACGAATATCACGGTAGATATTTTATCGATTTCAATCCTACGCTATCTGTTGTACGGTATTTAATTCGAAATTAATATATCGATATGTACAGTTTCTTATAGATTATTTCAAAGACAGACTTTGTCGTGCATATAGTATTGAAAATGAATAGTTTTCAATCGAAAATTCCT